CCCCAAAACCCCAAAACCCCAAAACCCCAAAACCCCACTATAAAACCCTCATTTTGAAATAAAATTCAAAAATGGAAAAATCTCCAAAAGCCCCTACAAGGATCCCTCAAAACACCTTTTCCAAGTCCACCTACGAAACCTCCCTCCTCAATCTCGAAACCACCAACTCCGAATCCATCCTTTCCACTCTCCACCACGGAAGAATGGTCAAGCTAAACTTCCCTAAACCCAAAAAGACTCTCTATCTCCACTCAAGATCAATCAAAGGAAAACCTCAGGCCAAGTACTACATATAGAGAAGAAATATGTTATTGAAGATGTCAGATCGAGAAGAGATTGGTACATTCCAAGTGATTATGAGTTTTATAAGAGTTCAGGAGGGATGTTAAGAGATTTGTTTTGAAGTAATAATGAGTTTATGCAGTCTTGTGGCACACCTAAGAAGATTATAATTGGAAATCAGCTTAATGGCTCATTCAGCTTACATGAGAGGTTCTGGAGAAGAGTGGTGTATAAGAATATAGGAGTATGCATTGGGAGTGTGATGCTGGATAACTTTACTCTTACAAAAAATGATGTTTGTAGAATTTTACTTTGTGGAAGACATTTATCGTCTATTTCTCTCGTTTATTGAGTGATCCCAGACCAAAAATTTTCTGAAAGTTTCTTTGACTATTATCAGCACGCCTCAAAGATGAAGCACAAGATTGTAAATTTTGATTACTGCAGTAGAGGTTCAAAGTCTTCCTCTGCTAATGAAAAGGCAATGATTTGAAACCTGATGGGTCCAATTCTCAAATCAGAAATATCTCAGAAAATGAAGAAAATTTCTTTTGGAGGTGCTTGTTTAAAAAATAAAACTAAAACCCTGATGGAAATATTAGATTATAAAAGAATTAGAAGTTGCTTCAAGTCAGAAGTAAGATTCATACAGTTTGAATTAGTTCCAGAATAATTCATTAGCTATAATTCAATCTTATTGAACATCTTGGGGTTTTGGGGTTTTGGGGTTTTGGGG